CCAAAGTACTGTGGTACCCTCTCATAGTCCACTGGCAAGAGTCCTTTGTACCCAGTTCCAGTCAAAGTCTCTGTTGCTTTTCAGGCCCCGCGGCCAAAGGGGGCACCCCAAAGCCGCGTGGGCCTCTTCTACCAAAGCTGCAGGAGTCCGCACTCCACCAAAAGTATGTGGCTGTCTTCTTCACCTGGCTGCAGGGATCTCCATTCTGGCAAAGCTGCGTGGTTTTTCCCTTTCACCTGGGAAAGAGGGGTTCCACACTCTGCCAAAACCACGTGGCTCCCTCTTTCACCTCACCAACAGGGGGTCCTCACTCTGCTGAAACCGCGTGGCTCTCCCTCCATCTGGCCAAGCGGGGACCCTTCATGTCTTGGAGCCAGTCTTTTCCAAGCTCTCACCCAGGCCATCTCGCTCAGGAGCGCAGCCTCTAGTTACATTCTGAGTCCAAGCCCTTCTCCCTTCGGAGAACAGCTCATAGATCCCATCTTGAGTCCCAGCTACTACCTTCTCCCTTCTGCCTCCTTCTTCCTGGCCCCAAACTTGGCCACAGCTATTTAACATATCTATGAAACCAGTTAAAGGTTATAGATATGTTAAATAACCATTCCTCCAGAGGTTAGCTCCAAAACTGTTGCTATGCAAAATAGCTCTCAATGGCCTGGCTCTATTCATTCCTTTCCCCTGGGGGGGGGGGGGGGGTGAGGACATCTTATATGTCTCTCCAATATTTCTATACACTTTGAATTCTGGACACTTTTCTAAATCTTTTTGGGGGGCCCCCTGTCTGCACCCTGTATCAATAGAACTTATTTTCAGACTTAAACCATCCTTTTTAGAAGTCCTAAAGGAGAGATTTGTGAGAGATTTTCAAAGATGCATTCATACACATATGCTTTTCTTGTGATAAATTCTCCTTTTACCAAAGACTGACTTCAACCAACAGCAGCTGCCTCTCAGGTGTCTTGGCCCCAGAGCAGCCCAAGTCAAGGGAAATAGACCTTGCAAAACACAGGTGTGGGACTTTTTCTCTTCCCAGTGCTCCCCAAGTTCCATGACAAGGGTTTCTCACCTGATCACGTAGGTCTAGTCCAAGCATTTTATCAGCTGTGCCCTCAAGTTTCCAGGATGGAAGCCACATGGGAGCTTCAGAGAGATCCAGGATGCATTTTGGCTCACCTGTTGCTTCCTAAGAGGAGACCAATCCTGTTGCTGAACTGGGCAGCTCTTTTTAATTTGGATTTTTTGGAAGCAAAATTGACCATCATAGTTAAAGCCTAGTGCCACTTTTGGTCAGATTAAAATCATCCCTCTTGAGTCTTCTGGGAAAAAAATCTGAATTCAAAACAATATAAATTTTAAGTTATAAATAAATCAAATACTTATATAAGAGTGTGATGTATAAATTTTGTAACATTAAAAAAACTGATGTTATAAATCATAATTTACCAAATAATGTGCCAAAGAATACTACTTCTTCAGGTTGATAAAGGCATGAAGTGCCCAAGCAGAGGAAACCCTTGTCCAGTCCATTGTTTGGAAAATGCTTTTTCAAGGTTAAGCAAAGGACTTCTCAGAGATTTCATTATGGCAATATGCATTTTGATGGCACAAGATGGGACCTACTATCTACTGCATTTCTCAAACCTATTTGTTCATAGGGCTTTTCACCCCCAGCCCCACCTCATTTCACAGAACATCATGCAATGTGATAAGTCTGTGAATAAGTATGTTAAATGAAGCCAGACTGTGAAATAACAGATAAAAAATTAAAAGTAATTCACTGTTTAGGAAGAAGAAAAGAAGTGCTTACTTATATTAATGGTGAAGACATTGATGTTTGAGGGATGGGGAACAGCAGGGTTTCTGAGGCAGAGGGGGATATCAAAAAAAAAATCTCTTAGCATGAGTAACTAGAAGTCACTTGTTTAAACTCAGATGTGATATTTTCCAAATGAAAAACTGTACAGGAAAGGTAAAGCAAATGAAAAGATCCTTACTATGATTTTATGGTGACCTCTTGTGGTTCAAAGACAAAATGACCTTTCAAAAAATTCTGGCACCTTGAGCAGCAAATATTTTGAAGTTTAAATAACATTTTTCAATGTTCACCCAAACTAATACAAGTGTTATCTCTTCAGATTGATATTAGAAGAATACCTATCTTATAAATTCCTGTCATGGTTGGACTTCTGCAAAAAAATATGCATTGCATTGATGAGCAGAAAAGAAAATAATAAAGACAGAACAAAATATAAAGTATAGGAAAAATAACCATCTTGCTCAGGCAATTATTCATTTATTTTGAAGTTGATATAAAATTTAGATGATATATACTAATTAATGACCTTAAGCTTTTGAAATAAATAGTGATTTCAAGATTTTGAGCTTTTTGCCTTTGCTTTTTAGTTGATACCTACCTATATACTATATCTGAATATTATGAGTGATGATTGATTCTTTCCTAATGAGATTAAAAACTCTTGCCATTATAACAGGTTTTGCCATCAGAAATGAAATAAAATCATTGAAGAACAATAACACATTTGTTCTTCAGACTTAATTAATACTGTATAAAAACATCAGGGCAAATAGCACTTTACGAGTCACTGAGGGGATAGATTTCATGTAGCCAGCCAACAGCTGAAATACTTTTCAAAAAAAAGAAAATATTAAGAACCCCTTATAACTTTGAATTATCCAAAACCAACAAAGTGTAAGAGTTCTATCCCTAACCTCAAACAAGAACCCTTCTGGCTTAAGGGCCCAGAACATCTGATGACAATTCACAGACCCTTTCCCATCTGTGAGAAGCAAGTTAAAGCAGGGGTGTCCCTGAATCAGTGCCAAAGCATCCTGGGTTTGTTTGAAGTGCCCCTATCCTGAGCTGTCACATGCTTTCTGGTTTTTCTCACTGAAATCCACTTGAATCAGGTTGGGATTTTTTGAGGAATGTAGCAGATGTTCAATTCATGTGGCTTTAACACTTAGTTGTTTGGTACAATGTTTTTCTTGGACCAATATGGACGTTTGTTTCGTTGTGATACCTTCTAATTAGAAAAAGTCAAGTACTGGAGGAAGTTAAAAAAGGTGACCTTGGACCCACCCACAAAAACCCTCCCTGTGCTGAGCACAGCCACTCTTAGAACCTGTTGCCCATGTGCAGTGTGGGGCATGGCACCACTTACCACACTGCCCACTGTGCTGCAGAAACTTGTCTTTTTCTCAACACACATGAGGAATGGCAGAGAAATGGCGTTTCAAGGTGTGGAACATTGTACACAATGAGCCTGGGACAAAGACCACCACAGTTATATCAAAAGAACATACTAACTCTGTTTAAATGCACAATTTCATAATAATTTTTATTGAAAAACATTGGCCACTTTAGAGGATGCAAAGGCACCACCTCAGGATCTGAAGACAGAACTAATGGAGCATTTACCCTGCTTTTCTTATATGAACTTTAAACTGAGTTAACCAAGGGTTGATGTTTCAAGGCTTCTTTTTATAGAAGTATTCCAGCTAATAAATAAAGAAGGAATGAAAAATTTTAACTTAATCATTTTGTTACTTCAATGAAACTGTATTTAGATAATGATCATAAGTGGCTGCTGACATTAAAAGCTAAAGAAGGAAGGATAGGATATTATACTCTGATAGAAGTATTCAAAACAGATATGAAGTGTTCTTGAAAAAAATCTAACATAAAGTGATGTAGCTTCCAGATCTAACTACCAACTTATAGGAATAGGCTAAATGATACCTCGAGATAAAATTAGCAAATTCCAAAACTGTAGAACATGTAACCCAGTTTCTTACACAAAAAGCAGGGTAGTGGAAGGGAAGTTGTACCTACAAGAAAGCTAAGGGACTATAAACCAAATGTCATGTCTACTCACTCAAATAAACCAAGTTAAAAAAAAATAAAATTTATGTTGAGAAAATTTGAACATTGCAAATATATTTTATATTAAGTAATAACTTTATTATTATATTATAAAAAGATCTTTATCTTTTAGAGATATTCACTGAAATATTTATGGATAAAATAATAGGATATCTTGGATTTAGTTGACAAAGATTCAGAACAGGAAGGAAGGGGCCAGGCCAGAAATCAGGGATTGGAAAAATATGACTCAGGGGCCAAGTCTGGCCAATCATCTATTTTTGTAAAGAAAGTTTTATTGGAACTCAGTCACACTCATTCATTTCTCTATGGTCTGTGGCTGCTTTCTGTACTATGACCATGTTGAGTAGTTGCAACAGAGACTCTATCAACCCGCAAAGCCAAAAGTACTTACTATCTGGCACTTTACAGAGAAAGACTGCTGCAAAGCTGACCCAGCATTCACCATAAGCACATGACTGAAGCTGGGTGATGGACACATGGTGGGTAATTATGGTATTTTTTATGGTTAATTATGGTATGTTTGAAATGTCTCATAACAAAACATTTTAAAGTTTGAAACAAAAACAAACAAAAATTGCTGGATAAGCTTCTCAGGATTCTTCAACCTGCCTGCTCATAATTGATATATTTGAATAATTTAATTTTTTCAAAAAGGGACTTCTCTTTCTTTACATTAATATTCTTAAAGAAAATGAGAACAAATGTAATTTACATTTAAAAGCTGAACTGGGGAGAAGGAGATGTTTACAAAACATTCAGGCGTTTCCCCCTTCCAGTAGCAAAGCTAGGAAGGATCCTGTGTCTCTGGGTGAGACAGAACCAGCCCTGACCCCGTTCCTTTCCCTCCTCTCCCTAGTATTGGCTTCCTGGGTTGATGGGTCATCGAGCTTATTCACTGTTGTTGTAAACAAGGCTGAGCATTCTGTTTTCAAAGACACTGAAACTGGAGGAAACTAGTCACCAAAAGCCTGACTATCAGCTGCTAGATGGCTTCCTGATAACTCCTGTGCTGGCCAGCACTCTGCACACCAGTACAGGTCTTTGGGGCTCCCAGGACACCACTGTCCCAAACTGACCTGCCTGACCCAGCCTCATGCTGGAAATCACTGAGCTGTGCTTCAGTGTGGACCATGGCTACCTGGAGGGCCTAGTGCGAGGGTGCAAAGCCAGCCTCCTGACCCAGCAAGAGTACATCAACCTGGTCCATTGTGAGACCCTGGAGGATAAGCTAATATTCTTATAGTTTAGACAGGAAAAAATGCCTCTGGCCCAGGGGGACTTAAGGGAGAGGCGGTTCCCAGGGCCTGAGAGCCCAGAGCAGGTACTTAATCCCAGGGCCAGGAACTCAGGGGTCCATGAATTTGGATCAGAAAACAATTACATCTCTGTGTTCAGTGTTCTCTAGGTGAAATCTTAACAATAGAAAGTCAATATTTTCAAATCCTTATACAGTTCTGGTAGATGTTTTGAAATATCAGTTATGTTTTTACTATCGAAATTATGGAAAAGACTGTTCTTATCCTTTAATCATGATATTTAATGCCTTAATACAGGAGCACAGTATTATACATTTTAAAATATCTTGGTAACTGGCTGGTGTATATCTCCATACCTAGCCCTTTTCCATCTCTTGGGGAAGTAAAATAAAAACTTTACTCTCTGTATTTTCTTTTTTTGTGTGAATTCTTTTACAGTCCATGTTGCTGAATACCCTAACATATTGGTAGTCCATTCAGGGATATTCTCTATTTCTCCCTCTTCTCTGCCTCCTGAGACTTACAACTAGGGGAGCAGTGGACAGTTGAAGCTCTACCCAGCTAACCCCCTAACCCTGTTTCTGTGAGACCTTGAGACAGGATTATAATCCTTCTCCATCTCTCCAGACTCTATGGACACCCTCCTCCTCACCCCTTACATGGCCAGCAATTGGAGAAATCTGGAGAAACTATGTCAAGATAGAATATCTAATAAACCTGGATTGTAGGTCTGTGAAAAAATGTCACCTTCTTCAAGCACCACTCTAGCTTTCTCATCCTAAGTATCTGAGTTAGTTACAAACTCCACTAATATTCCCCAGTTAAGCACCCTGCATCATGCCTATTTTTACAATCATCACAAAGATGTTAGCTCACATTTCTATCATTGCACAGGATGTCCCTTGAAGTTAATGTTCTACGCTTTTTGAGAAAAGAGTCTACTGCTAGCTTAAAAAGACTGCAACGTCTTTTTTCCCCCAAGTAACAAAAAATCCAAGGGTAGCGATGTGGGTTGAAGTATGTTTTCCCAAAATTCATGGTTGAAGGTCTAATGCTCAGTACCTCAAAGTATGACCTTATTTGGAAATAGTATCATACAGATGTAATGACTTAAGATATGACCATACTGGATTAGGATGGATCACTACTGTAACTTAAAAGGTATCCTAATAAAAAGGGGAAATTTAGAAACAGACATGAACAAAGGGAGATAGCCATGTGCAGATGAAGGCAGAAATTCAAATGACAGTTCTATTGTATAAACCAAGGAATGCTAAAAGATTCATGGGAGATAAATGAAAACAATTATTCTCCATAGCTTTCAGAAAGAATCAACCCTGCCAACACCTTAAAACTGGGTGCCTAGCCTTCAAAATTGTAATACAATAAATTTCAGCTTCTTTTCTTTTTCCTACATGGCTACTGCATTTATTAACTGGGGTTCACAAGGCAAGAACAGTTACTATGTTGTGGAAATATTCCATCAAAAAGTCAAAAAAAGGAAGTTATTTCCTACTTTGAAAAATTTCATTTATGTCCAATACCTCATATTCAGAGTTCTCAGTTTCCCCCACAATGTCCTGTTTCTGACCTGGGTGCCATGTTGCACTTAGTTGTTCTCTCTCTTTAGACCCCTTTGGTCTGTGGCAGGTCCTCAGCTATCCCGGTCTTCGATGACCCTGTCACTTTTAAAGTGTCCTGGTCAAGTAATTTGTAGACTGCCCTTGAATCTGGATTTGTTTGATGCTTTCATGCAAGTTGACTAAGGTTTGGAATTTGGAGAACTCCACAGAGGTGATGTGCACTCTTCAGCACCTCACATCACTGTGTACAAGACACCACTACTCTGACTAACCTTCATCATCCAGTGATGGAGGGCCTGACAGGTTTTCCACTGCCAGTTACTATTCTTCCTTTTAAAATGAATAAATAGCCCTGGCTGGTGTAGCTCAGTGGATTGAGCACAAGCCTGCAAACCAGAGGATCGTGGTTCAATTCCCAGTCAGGGCACATGCCTGGGTTGCAAGCGAGTTCCTTGCAGGCCAGTTCCCAGCAGGGGACACACTAGAGGCAACCATACATTGATGTTTCTCTCCCTCTCTCCTTCCCCTATAAAAATAAATAAATATTAAAAAAATAAAATGAATAAATATCTGGAGGAGAGAAGGGATGCTTAGAGGATATGCAAATATCCCATTTCTCCTTAAATGCGTAACCACTAATTTTAGAGTTCATTAATGGATCTTGCCTGCAACAACTATTACTGTGATGTTTTTTTCCACTGAACTATACATTTTATTTTTTATTTCTTTTTTTAAATATATTTTATTGATTATGCCATTACAGTTGTTCTATTCCCCCCTTCATTCCCTCCACCCTGCACACCCCCTCCCCCACTATTCCCCCCTTTAGTTTATGACCACGTGTCTCAAGTTCTTTAGATTCTATATCTCCCCTACTATTCTTGCCCTCCCCCTATCTATTTTCTACCTACCATCTATGCTACTTATTTTCTGTACCTTCTCCCCCCTTCTCCTTCTCCTTCTCCCACTCCCCTGTTGCTAACCCTCCGTGTGATCTTCATTTCTATGGTTCTGCTCCTGATCTAGCTGTCCACTCAGTTTGCTTTTGTTTTAGGTGTGGTTGTTAATAACTGTGAGTTTGCTCTCCTTTCACTGTTCATCTTTTTTATCTTCTTTTTCTCAGGTAAGTCCCTTTAACATTTCATATAATAAGGGCTTGGTGATGATGAACTCCTTGAATTTGATCTTATCTGAGAAGCACTTTATCTGTCCTTCCATTCTAAATGAAAGCTTTCCTGGATAGAGCAATCTTGGATGTAGGTCTTTGGATTTCATGACTTGGAATACTTCTTTCCAGCCCCTCCTTGCCTGTAAGGTCTCTTTTGAGAAATCTGCTGACAGTCTGATGGGAACTCCTTTGTAGGTGACTGTCCCCTTATCTCTTGCTGCTTCTAGGATTCTCTCCTTCATTTTAATCTTTGCGAATGTAATTATGATGTGCCTTGGTGTGTTCTTTCTTGGGTCCAACTTCTTTGGGACTCTCTGAGCTTCCTGGATTTCCTGGAAGTCTATTTCCTTTGCCAGATTGGGGAAGTTCTCCTTTATTATTTGTTCAGATAAGTTTTCCACTCATGGCTGTTCCTCTTCCCCTTCTGGCACCCCTATAATTCTGATGTAACGTTTAAAGATGTTCTGGAGGTTCCTAAACCTCTCCTCATTTTTTTGATTTCTTGTTTCTACATTCTTTTCTGTTTGGTCACTTTTTTCCTCTTTCTGGTCCACTCCTTTGATTTGAGTCCCAGTTTCCTTTTCATTACTATTGGTTTCCTGTGCATTTCCATTCATTTCAATTAGTTTAGCCTTCATATGTTCCTCTAATTTGTGACTAAAATCAACCAGTTCTGTAAGCATCCTGATCACCAGTGTTTTGAACTGTGCATTTGAAAGTTTGACTATTTCTTCATCACTTAGATTTATGGTCTCTGGGGCTCTAAGTTCTTCTTGAGCCATGTTTTGATCTGTTTGTGCCAGTTTGGCTGAAGGGTTTGTTGTTGTCAGACTTCCGTGAAGTTCAATTTTCTGTGGTTTTGGCTCCATTTTTGTTGCTAAAACTTTGTTGTTTTTAAACTTGGTTGTGGGAGGAGGCACAGTGCTTCCACCTACACCTCCATCTTGGCGGAAGTCCTCTCAAAATTTCAGTTTCTTATGCCTCCCTGTGGGGGCACCTTTCCCCACAAGTCCCCCTGTCTACCATGGTTGAAAATGAAACTATTAAGACATGATCTGCTTGGGAAGGAAAGCTGGTCAATCTCTCACAGAAGAAGGACCAAAAACCTCTTCATCAATGGCTTTTACTGGGTTGTAATACACAGGAATACAGGTAAAGCTCATCAGTCACTGTCAGGTGGCAAGCATCAAACAATAGATATCATTTCAAAGAAATCTGAGGGCTTAGTCTGAGTCAGTGTCTGTCAGGCAAGGGGGCTGCAGAAACTTTGGGAGACATACTCATTTCCTGCTCAGACCCTTAACATACTAATGAAAGCACTCTTAGCAAAGCAGGCTTCACAGGACTTTAGGAACTTTTTCTTGTACCCAATCACCCTGGAACCCACTCTAGCTGGCAGAGGTCTTCACTGCTTTCCCAGTCATAGGTTTTCAGGCTTACATGGATTAGAGCCAGAAAGTACTTCTCCCAGATGGAAATGGGGACTTGGGCTATGTCAGAATAACCAGGGAGTGAGGGTCCATCATGCCCTCTTTGTTGTAGCCCCCCCAAGTCCTTCCTTGAAGGCCTCCCAAGTTGATCATGTCTGGCTTAGGTTGCCCCCCGAGGGACCTTACCCTTTACTGACTAACTGACCAAGCGTTGGGGGCAGAGATGGATGAAGCAGAAGCAGCACTGCTGCCAAAGACAAGCTTTGTCTCCTTAGTGGTTTGTAGTCCAGAGCCTTAGCCATGAGAGGTGATTACAACTCCTGAAACCAGGCAGAGTGGTCCCCAATACCTCCCCACCTCCCCACATTATTTTTAAAAATAATGAATAAATAAATAAAATAACTATAGTTATCTTGATAACTATATTTTAATATATTTGGTTTCCTTTGAAATCCCATCTATTTTTATTCTACATATTTATAAATATTATTTGGAGAAAGGTGTCACCAAATCGCCCAGGGATCTATGGCCAAAAAAATGGTAAGAATCTTGGTCCAGAGAATTTAATTCTGTCCCCAGTATCAATGCATATGAGCTTATTTAAGTTTACTTTAGGCTTCTCCTTAACTGAAGCTTTAAAAACCCACAATGGGGTCTGTGGTGAAGCCAGCCCTGATGCATAGGTCTTCAACCACTGCCAGGTGCAGGTAGATGACCTGAGGCTCCAGCCTGAGCTCAGAGTTCTTATTTGTAAAATACAATGGTGACACCTGCTTTGTCAAA